TGTTTGAATGAGTTAGAATTCGTCTGCCGCTTATAAGGGTGCGTTGAATCCAACAAAGGCAAGGTCTAATGTTCCATATCCAAATTTTGAGCAGTTTTTGAAACACCCGTATTCTGTACACACACAAAACAATTTCAGACACTCACTCTCACATTTAGATGCGGTGGTAACTTTACAGTGTGCAGGTACTTTACATTGTGTACATGTACTCATTTTTTCAAAGGCGATGCTGCGACATGGATCAGTTGGTTTCTGCAGTGGGGTGATCTTCAAAGAGAACATGGTTCTCACCACGGCCCAGTGCGCTAGGAAGTACATCGGCTTTCAGGTGGCGGTGGGTGAGTGCCATTATGTTTTCAGAACAATTTCATGAAACACGTTGAACAGTGGTTTCCTAACATGCTACAAAACCATTCCTTACACTCTACAGGTAAAAGGGTGACCTCATTCGAAGCAGGAGAGCAGACGCTTCAGGTAAAGCAGGTGCACATCCACCCGCTCTATGTTGAGGGCAAACCTGACCATGACATGGCTGTAGTAGAGCTGACGCAGAAGATCGTCTTCAAGAAGAGCGTGCTTCCAGCCTGTCTGCCTGAGAGAGACTTCGCTGACAGTGTGCTCATGGCGGGCGACTACATGGGTGTCGTCACCGGCTGGAAGGAAGTTTCCGGTGCAACGGATCTTGAAGGGAACCTCATGTTAAACCACCTGTCCTATGACAAACTGCTGGTTTGCTCGCAGCGCCACTCTGGTCAGGTTGGTGGACGTGTCAGTATTTTATGGGGTTCCCATGGTCACGAAAAACCATTTCACAAATTGTTTCCTCATTATCAAACTTGTTATCATGCACTCATGCAATTGTATATTATCCAAGCATCAAAACATAAAACTATCCATGGTCTTGGTGTAGAGGACTCTCAGAATAATAGTAAAACTTAGTAAACGTACAGGTGGATCGACCTAGGGTTTCTAGGGCTGCGCAATTAATCGAATTTCTAATC